TCCGAGGGCACCAACCACACTGAGTTTCTGGGCCTGCCAGACCGAGAGGCTGATGCTGTCACATGGTGGTCCCACCACGTTGCCACCATTCGGAGACTCTGATGGAGCCGTCACTGACTGTCCCAGAGGCCCCGGCTCTCCCAGACAACTTCTTAATCTGTAACGAACCTCCCTCAAGGTTAAAGCATTGGATGTCCTGGCATACATGAGGTGCTCAACAATGCCGATTCTTATTAGTTTATGTAAAACCAAGAGACTGTGATCCCCTTAAAGCCTGGAGCCCTGCCTCCTGTTGCTCTGGTTTCTGTCCCTCACTTCCCAAGGTCATGCTGTGGGTTTGCCCCACTCTGATCTCTGCCCACACCTCAACCATATCTCCTGGTTTCCCCTGAGGCACACAACAGCAGCTACACAGTGGAGCACCCTAGGCCCGGCAGTGTGGCACCAAATTCTAAGGCTGTCACCTCTGCCTCAGGGACCTAGCTCCAACCATTCTCATCTCTGAGCTTCATTTCCCCAGCTGTGAGACGAGGGCTTTGGGCTAGCTCTTTACATGCTGTAGTATTTGTATGATGACTTATTCCTTCCACCCACCCCTCCATCCACCCCACAGACTCTCAGCACCTTCTCCCAGCTGGATCAGGGAGGGTGGTAGGAAGAGTGAGTTGAATGGACATACCCCCAGGCCTCAAACCCCTCACACCACAGCGAAGCATACCATCCTCTGCAACAGAGGATGTACCTCACGGGGCAGAGGGTGGGTGGGTGGTTGCACTCTGTTAGCCTTGCCTGAGCCCTGCTTGCTGGCTTTGCAGTGGCAGGCGCCAGAAGTCGGCCCTGCTTCCTGCGGAGATGCCCCCCCCTCCCGCCCCCCAGCATTACTCAGTGCCCCACAATGTCTGCCTCCCTGCGCCCTCCTCCTGGTCCCCCGGGAGCACAGCACAAACGTTCTGTTGTGGGCCAGCAGCCCAGGCAGCAGGCGAGCCTCTGGGTGACTCACGATCTTGCCATTTCCTTTGTGTGGCCCACGGATCCCTGCTGGAAGCCAGCCTGTGCCTGCCCCACCAGGGTGGGGGCTCTGGCAGGGCTCTCCAGCATCACCCCTCGGGGAAGGGAACCCCCTCCTCCCTGGACCTGCATGCCTTTTAGGTAGCAAGGGGGTTCCCAGCAAGTGAAGCTCCACTTAGAAGGCAGCTGCTCGGGGGAGGCAAGATGTTTGCAACCTCATCTGGCAGGAACCAAAGCGCCCGCTGTGGGCAAGGCATGTGGTCCCCATCAGGCAGTGCTCTGCTCCCGGTGCCCTAAGGGATACATCTCTAGGAAAAGTGAAGATTAACCACGGAAGGGAAGGGCAGGATGCCTTGGAAAGCAACGTGGGCTGCTGCCTCCGGGGAGGGGAGGGAGGAACTTTGGTCCCAGCTCAGATGCCCAGTCAGCTGCCACAGAGCCCATCTGAGCTTCCTCCGGGGCTCCTGCACTCAGCACCCTGGCAAGGCTCTGGCTAGAGTGTGGCCAGAGGCAGCCTGGCCGGGGGTACCTAATGAATAGTGAAGGAGCAAGTGAGCACTGGACTAGGAGCCCGGAGATGGGTTCTCGCATAGGTCACTAATCTGCATCACCTCCAGCAGGTTTTCCCAGTGGGATTTTAGGCTCCTTGGGAGCAGGCCCTAAGCCATGGCTCCTGAGACTCTTCCTGTCTGGCTCTTGCCTCCTGCTCTGGTTTTATCTCTACCCATCCGCTCCTTAGGCTTCACATTCCAGCCACTGTGAACGACTTGCTCTTTCCCGAGCACACCATGTTCTCACTCACCTCCAGGTTTTGCACAAGCTGTTTGTTCTTGCTGCAAAGGAGAGCCTTCCCCAGCCTCCTTGAGGGCACGTGGTCAGTCCTTTCCTTTGAGACTCAGCGCAGGGGCCGCCTCCCATGGGAAGCTTCTCCCTGAAGTCTGTCATAGGCATCCCTCCTCTGCACTCCTCTGAACGCCTTTGCAAAACCTGTCAGAGCACTCACCCCTGCTCTGTGATTCCTGGTGGCTTACATGCAGGAGGGCACTGAAGGAGTGAGTGAGCGAGGACTGCTGAATGAAAGAATGAATGAAGGGCTTGGGAAAGGAAATTGCTTCACATGCCATTGCCCCGTGGGTGGGTACTAAGACACACCCTACAGGAAGCCTAAGAAAATGGCTCTAATTCTGTCCTTCCTTTCACAATTTTTAGGCATCTCTTGTGAAACGACAGGTGTGGCTGTGAGGTTATAGTCCTGGACTGAGGAGGAACCCACACAAATGAGGGAGGGTGCATCTGTCATCAGTATGCGGGGTCAAAACCAGCGCACAACTTGTAATCAGACCATTGGAACATAAACGTGCATGGACACAATGATGAGCCAGGTCAGTAGTCCATCGCTGAGAACAATGAGGTAGGCATTGAGAAAAATCCCCACACACTCCCACAGTTCTTTAGGGTTTGCAAGTTTTCACCATCACTGGTCTTATTGGATTTGAGTAGAGATCATTTCTGCCTCCTGCTTTTGAGATAAGCATATGAAACTTAAGAGAAATTGAGTTTTGCTTATAAAGTAAATGGGAAGAAAAAACAGTTCCCTTGAACAAGCCCTGAGAGGTTAGTGGGTGTCAATATACTTAAGATGAAGGAGATGTGGAGCATCCAGGGTTGTCAGGGGAAAGTGCTGCCTTCATGATAAGAACAAGGAGACACTGGTGTCCAGAGGAGGGAGAGGCTTGTTCTGGCTGTAAAGTCAGAGAAGACTTTGTAGAAGAGGTGACTTTTAAATAGGATCTCCAAGGGCCGGTAAGAGGCTCCTGAAGATGGAGAGAAGGGAGGAGAATACAGTGAGAGGGGGCTATGACAAGGAAGCATGCCACCTCAGGCTTCCTCTTTTGGGCTCTAAGGCATTCGTCTTTCAATGTTTAAACCAGTAAGGACAATACCAGCAGATGCAGTGATTAGTCAATGTGAAGGTTCTAGAAGTTCCTGTAAAGCACTAGTCTCACCAAATCTCAGCAGCAATGAACTGATCCTCATCTTTAGGCAGTTTTCCCAGAGGAGTGTGAATTTGGAAATCACCATCAGTTAAATAGAAAACGAGGGTAGTAGTTGAAAAGGAGTGAAAGGGGGGTCAATGGAAGATTGTATTAAAAGATACAAAATATAATATGTCTTAGGCTGAAAGCAGGCCAAAACAGTGCCCAACATCAACTTGAGACATCAGCCTGAGGCTTTTCTAACTGACCACCAGTTCCCTCTTGGTGTCCTCTCCATGCCTTGATGTGCAAACATCTGGCTCCTTGGGTCCACACCTTTCATTGCATTCCTCTTTTCCCCTTATTTCCTCATCCTGTCAACCCCAGTATCACCTCTGCTGGTTATATAGAAATATCCAACTTGTTGGGCTTTAACTCCTAGAAGGAAATACAAATGCAAGCAGAAGGTTCCGAGAGATCAACGGGCATGGACACAATGCTGGGCCAGGTCAGTAGTCTCATTTGAAACTGTTTGAGAGACTACCTGATCCTTGTTGCCAGCATACCTTAAATAAGAAAAATACTAAAATGAAAGACAAAGTGTATTTGAATTAATCCTTGGAATTCCTTGGTCCAATTCAATAATCATTCATGAACAACTTCCATGTGCCAGGTACTGGGTGCATTTGAGACCCAATATCTGTCCTCAAAGAGTCTCCAGGCTGGTAAGCTGTGTTCCTATGTACCTAGAACACAGATAATTAAATGTTAACATCCTATGGGAAGTGCAGATGGAAGGCTGGAGGGGTGGACTACAGCTGCGAAAGCAGGAGGAGCTTGATGGGAGAAGGCCTTCAAGGAGGAGTGATATTTAAGATTGGGAAGAGGAAAGAAGAATGGAAAGAACAAGAATCTGAAGTCTGGTGGCAGGAAGAAACATGACATTCATGGGACATGGGTTGAGAGAATTATGGGTTAAGGGGGATAATGGTAGATGAGCCTGTAAGACAGGTTTGATTGTGATTATGAAGGGCCTTGAATGCCAAGTAAAATTTTTATCACAGAATCATAAGAATGGAAAGAACCTTGGATGCTATCTGGTCTAACTCAGATAATTTGGTCTCTATCCCTCTTAAGGTGGCCACCATGACTGAGTGCATCCCCAACTGCTTATTTGTGATCTAATTTCAATGATAGTGACTCCGAAATGACTCTTTTCTCTACAAGGACTTTCAGTTCTTTCCACACGAGTCCTCTCACTGCCAGGAAGACTGTCAGAGCACAAGAACTAGGTGTAGAAATTCTGCAGATCATCTGCTGACCCTTTTCTGATGAGAAAACTGAAGCTCCAGGCAGGAGTAGGAAGGTTCTCCAGGTCTGACAGCTGTAAGAAGTGAAGCAGGAATGTTGGCCGAGTTGACCATGGTAATGTGCTTCCATACTCTTTCTCTGCTTCCTGTAAGGTTAGCCACGTCTTCTAAATATCACCCACAGAGGAATTTCAAAATGACCTACACTTAAAATTAATGGCTGGTGGCTGGTGTGAGTGGACAGAGGGAGCAGATTATAACAATAAAAGTTCCATTGCATGAAGGTTGCAAGGTTCAAAATCGGCGATTTTCAATCTGTATGCCATGGCACACTGGTATTCCACAAGAATTTTTAAAACATGCAGTACCTGACTATTTAGTCAGAGTCAGTGACCTTTATCCCCTTAGATTTGTAAAAAAAAAAAAAATAATAATAAATAAATAAATAATAAAAAAATAATAAAATTAAAAGAAAGAAAGAAAGAAAAAGAAAAAAGAAAAGAAAAGAAAAGACAGGGCAGCTCCTCTCGCGGGGTTGGCTGTTGGTGGCATTGTGGTTCAGCTCGTGTGTGGCTGCGTGGCGGCGGCGGCGGCGGCGGCGGCGGCGGTGGCGGCTGCAGCGAAAGAGTTTGGCGCGATGTCTCACACCATTTTGCTGGTCCAGCCTACCAAGAGACCAGAAGGCAGAACTTATGCTGATTATGAATCAGTGAATGAGTGCATGGAAGATGTTTGTAAAATGTATGAAGAACATCTGAAGAGAATGAATCCCAACAGCCCCTCTATCACATATGATATCAGCCAGTTGTTTGATTTTATTGATGATCTGGCGGACCTCAGCTGTCTTGTTTACCGAGCTGATACCCAGACATAACAGCCTTATAACGAAGAATGGATTAAAGAGAAGATCTACGTGCTCCTTCGTCGACAGGCCCAACAGGCCGGGAAATAGTTGTGTTGGCAGCATTTGGGGGTTGGGGTGGGCTTGGAACAGGTGTGTACAGCAATCTGTAGTGAAGTTTTGTATCATAGTAATCCTGTCTCCATTTTGGTACACTCTAGCCAGGATTGAATGTGTTAGATGATACGTGAGAATCTTGTTCAATCTGAACTCCCATCACACCCCCCCTTTCTCTCTTTTTTTACTTAAACATTGTTATGATGATCTAGAAGGAAGTTTTTCTTTGTCAGTTAATGTTGACTCCAATCCTTCATATCTGTTTTATAACATTCACTGTACTAACCCTTCTTCAAGTTGGGGTGGGGGTAGGGACACAGTTTAATTATGTGCTAAGATAAAGTCTTAGTGAAAAACAAATAAATGTTCTTTAGTTATAAAAAAAAAAAAGAAAAAAAAAAAGGCAACAGCCAATCCAATAATTACCATCCATTGTGAATGAAACAAAATTATACCCCTTTTTTTGTCAAATCAGCAAAAAATATATTTTTTTGGTAATTAGTTTATATGTGCCATGAGATGAAAAATGTTGAAAATCACTGCTATAGACTGTACAGACCAGAAGGCTACAGAAACATGTGGCAAAATGGTTATTTCTTGTTAAATAATCCCAAGACTCAATTTATAATATGCCTTGAACAAGTCCCCAATTCAAAAGCCTTTATCATCTTACAAACCCCTCTTGAGACCACACAGTGCTTCCAGCTTCCGGAAACAGCAGGTGCTATTGCTTTCAGAAGTAATGTCATCACTTAATGCACAAGGGGAAAGAGAGGAAGGAGCATGCATGGACGCGGACAGGGGAGGAGGAGGCAGCATTAGATCCTCTCTGGGGTCCTGTCCAGCTGGAAGTGTGCTGTTTCCATCTCCTAAAGTTGGCAGCTTGGGTTGCGAAGGGCCTCGGAAGGGGAGGCAGGAAGGGGGCAGGGGAAAGCACTGTGAGGGGAGAAAGGTGGCCTGGGGGCGAGAAAGCCCAGGTGAACCGATGGCACTTGGAGAGACAAGCAGAACCAGATGAAAGAGCAGCTGAGGCCTGTGAAAAGGTTAGACCCAGCCTGTGTCTAAGCAAAAAGGCCAGAGCACTTAACACAGATTGCCAAACTTTAGAGCTCTTTAGAAACACCTGGGAAGCTGATTAAATTCCTAGTTCCTGAGAGAATCCCCATAGACTCAGAATCTGTGATTGGGCCAGGAGTGGCGTTTGTGACCAGTTCCCCAGGTGATCTTACACAAGCAGTCCTTGGGAAAACAGTGGCGACAGGATTTTCCTCTGTGAACGCCTGTGACCTGTAAATTGAGAGGCTGTCAAAAACAATTCCAACTGTCCCTGTCAACTCCAACAATGGACTTCTCAGAGGCTTGCACAGCATCTCGTTGCCCAAGCTTGCAGGCCTTCTTATCTCTCTCAACATACTAGTAGTTACTTCCTGTGCCTTTTAATTTACGAGGCAGGCAGGTTGTCAGCTACCTGCTCAGCTCTTGAAAAGGCCTTACATGTCATAGACTCTAGCAGCTCCATCTTGTCTGCCCATCTGGATAAGAACAAGGCAGCATCATGTGTATTCACGTTGGTGTCAGATGGGACTGAGTCCCTCTCTCTGGAGGCCATGGCTTGGGGCCAGGACAAAAACCACTTCCAGGTCTCAGGTCACAGGACCATGCAGGATGATTTATTTAAGGAAGAAAGCTTCAAAGGAAATTAAACATGTATATTTCTCCAGCAATTATGCATGTGCTTTCCCTTGAAAAATAGTCCCCAGGCCCTGCCTGGAAGAAAAACCAGATTTCTCAATGAACCTGTGTTCTGAAGGCACCCAGGGGGAGGTGGTGTTTTTCTCGCAGGGAAAGCCACATGAAAGCCTTCGCAGCGGCTTTCACTGTTTCTGCTGCAGCGCGTCTCAGGGCAGACTGGGGAGTCAGGGAGTCCTGTCTGGGAAAACGAGACAGGCTGGGCCTGAAACATTGATTTCTGGTTCAAGTTTCTCAGTGAAATGTGAATAGGGAATTTTCCACTTCTTTTTGTCCTGATTCACCTTGGCGGAGTCTTTGGAGTCTCAGACTGGGTCAGGGAAAGTCTGTTTCAGGTGGGCATCCGGCCAAACTTGCACCCCAAATGAATAGTCCTCTGTGCTGTTCCAGTATCACTTGTCCCCTTTTTGGCCGGGAAAAGACTCCATCCATCTGACTTCTGCTTTAACCATTTTGCTTTAGGAGAAACCAGGCCAGAGTGTCAGGACACGAGAATGTCATAGTGCCGTGGACGTCCTCATCACTGGCTCTGAGTATAAGTGGGTGATTATGTCCATTGATACTAACTGAATAGCTGGTATACATCAAGCTCTCTGCAAGACTTGGGGAATCAGAAGGTAAATAAGACACAGTCCCTGTTCTCAAGAGCTTGCAGTCTAGTGGAGCCGACAGTTGGGCAAATACCCTGGGCAGACTCTGATAAAGGTGACAAGACTGAAGCAAAGAAGTGGGGAGCAGGCTCTGGCTGAACAGCATCAGGGAATGCTTCCTGAAGGAGTTGGTATTTGCACAGGGTCTTGAAGGATGAATGGGACTGGAAGATGGTGGAGGGGGCAGGGGAAGGGCTGTCAGAGAAAAGTAATGTGGTAGAACGTCTCTGGTCCAAGGGGTACCGTAAATAGTCTGGGCCTTGTAGGTAGATAAACAAAGAGAGGAGTAGGAGATAAAGCTTGAACAGAAAGCAGAGACCACGCTAGGAAGAACACTCTAAGTCATGATGAGGGTCTGGACTTGACAAGGCAACAATGGACAACCATCAAAGGACTTAGGACTGGAGAGAGAGGAGTTGAACTTAGAGAGAATAGGTCAAAGGCTTTTGCAATAAAGCAAGTGAAAAATTTGCTTGGCCAATGTTAGGCTGAGGAAATGAAAAGTCAAGAACAGAATCAACAGATTATTTTGGAAAAGAAAAGAAACTGATTGGCCATGGGGAAGAGGGAGAATTTAAAGATTCTCAAATATGGGCTGACCCCCAATTTAGAGAATGATTGGGGGATGGAAGGAAGGTTGCTGGTTACCTGCATAGTCTCTAGAGCCAGATGACCTCTGTCCAGCATCAGAGTTTTTCATTTCCTAGAGAGAAATTGAGGAAGTTCTTCATGCCTCAGTTTCCTCGTCTATATCTAAAAGGGAAAGGACAGATTGCCCAGTAAATGTGTTGGCTTTCATTGTATTAAAAGGCCTATCACTTTTTTATTTCTCAGGGTCCTCAAGGGTCAGTGACTTGGAATTTAAATGGGGCACACTGTGATGAGGGTATCTCTGGTACATCGTTTAGTTCATGAGGGTGAGATTCACTCTGCTCATTTTTACTCTCCATCTGGTAACTCATTTGACAATTTTGTTAAGTGATTAAATTTTCTTTGGAGAGAGAGAGAGAGAGAGAGAGAGAGAGAGAGAGAGAGAGAGAGAGAGCCTCTTTTGAAAGTGAACAGGTCCAAGAAAGTGTTGTTTCTTGGGCAGAAAATGGAAGTTTTATAAAGGAAAAAATACTGCCAGAATAGTTTGAGAATTTGAGGTTTTTCAAAAGAATCCTGTAAATCATCCTTTGTATTCTCACTGGAAAAAATGTTAAGAGTATTGCTATATGTGAGGTTTTTTAACACCATTAAGCAACATACATACAGCCCTATCTGGTTTGGCTCAGTGGATAGAGCATCGGCCTGCAGACTGAAGGGCCCAGGGCTCAATTCCAGTCAAGGGCATAACCTTGATTGAGGGCACATTCCCAGTAGGGGATGTGCAAGAGGCAGCTGATCGATGTTTCTCTCTCATCGATGTTTCTAACTCTCTATCCCTCTTCTGTCCTCTCTGTAAAAAATCAATAAAATATATTTTTTTTTTAAAAAGAAAGAAAAGGTGCTTCCTCTGAAGCTCATGCACAGAAGCAGGACTGCCAGTGCACTGTGGCTGGCAGGCCCTCTTCTCTCTGGGCCTGCACCATCCATGGTTTACCTCACTTTGCATGCAGTCCCCTTCCACCCACCTGCACACTCAGCCTCCTCCCTGAGTGGTCATGACATTATGATGTCCCAGGCAATTTGCATATTATCTCTCTCTCTCTCTCTCTCTCTCTCTCTCTCTCTCTCTCTCTCTCTATATATATATATATATATATATATATATATATATATATATATATATTTACCTAAACAAAGCACAGAAAGAGAAAAACACTTGAATGGGCAGGTCCTAGAGTCTTCCTGGCTGAGTTGACCAAGGAGCTGTGGAAACCATAGAGACCAGACACCCAAAGGGTCAACCTGGATGCAACCTAGCAAAGACCTTATGCTCCTCCCAAGCTCAAAGGTGGCCATGTGGTACAATTCTGGAATTAGACAGAAACAGTGGGAATTGATTCCAGTGATCACAGAATGAGACCCTAGGCAAACTGTTCTGTTCTCAGTCCCTTCATGAGAAAAAACTCAGTGGATTTAATTTATTAGGCAGAGCTGTTATGAAAGTAAATGCAATCACAGACCTAATTGGTAATTATACTAGTTTGAGTTTATGAGGAAAGCAGAACCATTATAAGTGATAGAATAAAGGATCTGTTACAGGAATCTGACCATCAGAATTGTATTGGAAACTGGAGAAGAGAAGATCTGGAAGGGGACAGTTTAGAGAATCAGAGAAAAGTCACTTACTCACCAGGAACCACAAAGAGATGCTGGTTAATAAGTCTATGTAAGGTTCTGCATTGATGGTGGCCTGAAGTCACTACAGGTCAGCAGGAAAGGCAGTTGGGGAAAAATGCTGGACATGAAGCATAAGAGAGCAAGGACAGAGCTCATTTCATAATGGTAGCTCAGGTCTAATGCTAACTTGGTGACCCATGAAAGGCACTGAGTCTCTATTAGGCCCAATAGCAAGGCAGAAGCTTTCTCAAAGGGGGATAATTATCTGTAGAGTATGGCATAGTTTTGCACCCAAATCCTAAAAGTATGTACTATGCCTTATCAATAGAGACCAGCTAAATTTTTCATAGAGCTTCTTTATCTGCCATGGATATTTCTATTGTAGTAACAATGTATGTTTCATTC